AAATTGTTCATTGTTTATCTACATTCAAATTACTGCTAATCCTTTATTTTTATTTGCTGAATCTGGCATCTCTAGGTGAGAAGACTGCAACACATTGGTGACTGGAGGCCTTGAAGGACTGCCTCAAAGGTAGCAGGGGATACCAGAGCCTGGCAATAGCATGGGTAGAGACATGCCCAGGAAGAGAATGCTTGTTGGCCAATGGCACTCCATTCTTTGCTCCCATTGCCAGGATGCAGCATAAACTGCACCTCACAGTTCTCCTAAACTTACAGAGTTGACTGAAGGAAGAGAACAGAGAGAGGAATCTTGAACTGGTTAAGTATTAGCCCAAAAAATCTGAGGAAAAAAGCCAGAATATGACTGAGTTACTTTGCACAGGCAAGATTAAGCAGAAATGAAAACTTAAGAACTGTGTTCAGTTATGGATCATTTTTCACATGTGTCCATGAGTGAAAATTTGTACCTGCTTCAAGTAAGAGGACTGATGACATTGTCTTTCCAAGGTCCCTTCTGTATCAGTGATTCTGTAGCTGTAGCAATGAGGCTCATTGCCCTTGAAGGATAAATGATACAAGCATTAGATGAGGGTTGGGGCATTTCAAAACACCCATTGATTGCCTGGTTACAAGACACCCAGCAAAAGGGTGTAGGAGGAAAGCAGGTCGAGGAAATCCCGGGCATTGTGTGTGTGTGTGTTCAGTTTATTGCTTCTTAAATATTGAGGGTTGAGAACTTGCTAGAGTTAATTATTATTAGCAGTGAGGCAGCTGACTTACCCTGATAAAACTGATTTGAGAACTGCTTTCTTAAGAGAATTAGGAAGGTGATACCTAGGGAACCAAATAGTAAACAAGCACATTTTTACAGTGTCTTCACAATGAATCCTATTTTTCACTTGTCATTTCTCTATTCCCACTATACACACACACACACACACACACTCACACACACACAGAGTCTACTTCTTAAGAGAAGCTAACCTTGCCTCTGTTGCAGAACTGATCCTGGTTTGTCCTGTGTGACTCATTCCTTGCCTGAGTCTGGGTCATAGGGGGCCTAATATCAACCAACAGGTATAAGGAGAGGTTTACTGGTCTTATGGGAAAGGACTTTTCCATCTCTAGGATAGCTCTGGTAGCAGCTGGCCTTCACTTTCTACAACTGTTGTTACACACAGCTGTCAGGCCAGACTGGCTACATCATCTTGCCTTCAGCCTGAAGAGAAGGCCAAAGCACAGAGGAGGACATTGCTGGAGGGCATGAGGTGAATGCATACCCACTCTTTAATCCACAAGCTGTGTCTTTTCCTCACTTCCCTTCCTTCCTTGAAAAGGGGCTTTTAAACCAATTGTGGCAAAACATTACAACATGAAATTTTACCATTTTGACTTTTTTAAGTGCCAGGTCAGTGGCATTAAACACAGTTGCAGTGTCAGCAGCCAGCACCCACTCATCTCTAGAACTTTATCATCCCAAACAGAAAACTCTCTACCCATTAAGTCTGAAGAGTTTTTTTTTTTTTTAAGATTTATTTATTAACACATACAGAACTGGGGTACAGGCCAGAGGTGCAGGGGCAGTGAGAGGATTCAGCAGAGACAGAGCAGCGAGCAGAATAGGCTGACTGATGAAGTTCACTACTGAGGGGAGCAGTGGGCAGGTTAGGAGAGGTTTGCCGCACCTTGTGGTCACCTCCAGGGAGGGGACTGAACTCATGCTGAGGTGGCTTTAGCTTCTTAGTGCTGTGCTTTAACCAGCTACGCCAGGGCCCTAAGTGTGAAGACTTTTAATTAAGCTGGCTACTATGACTGTCCCTCTGCAAAAAGGAGTGTTTGAATGTCATACACAGAGGGTTGGCTTTCTCTCTGGCCTTTCCTTCTACTCATGTAGCACAAGGGATGAGTTGCATCAAGGCCTGCCCAGACATCTTGGTACCCCAACTCCTGTGTGAGCAAGTATTGAGAGGGCTGTTAATTAGAAAGGGGAAAAAAGGCAAAGAAGAAATTGTTCATTGTTTATCTACATTCAAATTACTGCTAATCCTTTATTTTTATTTGCTGAATCTGGCATCTCTAGGTGAGAAGACTGCAACACATTGGTGACTGGAGGCCTTGAAGGACTGCCTCAAAGGTAGCAGGGGATACCAGAGCCTGGAAATAGCATGGGTAGAGACATGCCCAGGAAGAGAATGCTTGTTGGCCAATGGCACTCCATTCTTTGCTCCCATTGCCAGGATGCAGCATAAACTGCACCTCACAGTTCTCCTAAACTTACAGAGTTGACTGAAGGAAGAGAACAGAGAGAGGAATCTTGAACTGGTTAAGTATTAGCCCAAAAGATCTGAGGAAAAAAGCCAGAATATGACTGAGTTACTTTGCACAGGCAAGATTAAGCAGAAATGAAAACTTAAGAACTATGTTCAGTTATGGATCATTTTTCACACGTGTCCATGAGTGAAAATTTGTACCTGCTTCAAGTAAGAGGACTGATGACATTGTCTTTCCAAGGTCCCTTCTGTATCAGTGATTCTGTAGCTGTAGCAATGAGGCTCATTGCCCTTGAGGATAAATGATACAAGCATTAGATGAGGGTTGGGGCATTTCAAAACACCCATTGATTGCCTGGTTACAAGACACCCAGCAAAAGGGTGTAGGAGGAAAGCAGGTCGAGGAAATCCCGGGCATTGTGTGTGTGTGTGTTCAGTTTATTGCTTCTTAAATATTGAGGGTTGAGAACTTGCTAGAGTTAATTATTATTAGCAGTGAGGCAGCTGACTTACCCTGATAAAACTGATTTGAGAACTGCTTTCTTAAGAGAATTAGGAAGGTGATACCTAGGGAACCAAATAGTAAACAAGCACATTTTTACAGGAAGTGTCACCAAGGACTATCAGTTCAGGAAATCTAAAAGCCTAGCTATTAACTGCAGACTGTGCTCCATTTAGCTTTCTGTCTAAGTGAGCAGTCCACACTTCATATACAGTAGGTTCTCCATAGAAAGTGCAATAGGCCTGACTGGGGCCTCCCCCAAACCTGTAAAGGAGAAAGGGTGCTTAGAACAGTAGGGAAGACACATGTCAGGTAGGAAGCCAGAAAAGGAGCCTTTCTAAGAGAGGAGGGAGGTTAAGCTAATTGTAAGAGGCTCGGGAGGAAAACAGTGATCCAGTGGAAGAGCTGGGGGAGGAGAAACATCTCTCGCTAGGGCTATGGGAGCAGCTTTGGGCTCCAGTGTTTCAGCAACCCATATTCATCAACCAGAGAGCACTGCCCGGGCGGTGCTGCCAGAAGCAGCAGCTAGTAAGGCTGTTCCCACCCTGTGTGAGTCATGGGGGTTGGTGACCAACTCCCTTCTAGAGAACCCCATGGCCTGACACAGGGAGCAGGGGTGAGTTGTGCTGGGGCAGGCAGGCAGGATGTGGCCAACACCCACCTGTACAGTTCAGTCCTAGTAATCAACTCACACCTTTATGTTTATATTTGAATCTTTTGAGTACTGGAGGTAGAAGCAATCTGTCCTACAGACAGGGCATAGAAAGCTAGATAAGGGTGGGCAGAGTCCATAGACATGCCATCCTTCATTGCAAAGACTGCCACTTGTGAAGGGCATTAGGAGTGAAAAATGAAGTCCTGGCTACCACTGTGTATTAACTAGCAGGTTCTCTACATTGTGATTTTGAAACCAAAATTTTAGGCAGAGATTACCGGGAAGACCTGTTTGACAGGAAACACCTACTCACTTGAATGATTCCACCCAAAATTGGAGGGAGTAGGGAGAACTTAGCCTAATAAGACCCACAAAAGTAGGTATTAGAGAAATTTTCAGATGGACATGTCTAATAAATGAATAACAAGCAGTGTCCAAAGACTTCGAGATCTGTTTGGTATGATGTAGAATGTGCGACACAAATGGTGAGTTTGAGATTTTTACACTGTGAAGTGAACATACTCCCCCAAAGAGAGGATCCACTGGGGACCAAGTTTGGCCCAGGGCTTACACCCAGGGGAAAAGTGTCAGGAAGACTAAAGCACAGAAAAAGTCAGAGTGTGTGTGTGTGTGTTGGGGGGGGGGAGGGTTTGGGGGGTGAAAGCTACAGACAAAAAATTTTTAAAAAGCTATTTTGGAGCAAGGACAACATGGAAGGTATGGGCCTGCTGTTTGGGAAATTAGTGCAGTGTTTGCAAATGAGGGAGACCAAGGGCACCTTCCTGGCAGAGCTTTTCATCTTTTCCAACAAGAGAATGCTTTTCACTTCCACAGAGCCCTACAATACACAGAGGGGAAGGTAAGATAGGAAAGTAATCCAGGCTCCAAACACTGACCTGTTGGGGATATGCTTATTGAAAAATTGTTGTTAATTAACTCAGTGCAAAAAAAAAAAAAAAAAAAAAAAAAAAAAAAAGGTGAGGCAGTAAAAGAGACCTTTACATGAAGGGATTTGAGTACTTATTTTAGAAGATCTCCTTTGCACGGACTGTCTCCTCCCAGCACTCCGGA